TGGTTTTACACTTTCAAATGGTTAAAACCAAATCAAAAGAAGACTGTTTTAGAACATGTAAAATTGTATGAAATTCTAGTTTTCATGTCCAGGAATAAAGTTTCACTGGAACACAGCCACACTCATTCATTTCTGTGTTATCTGTGGCTGTTTTTGCACTACAATGGCAGAGTAAATGTGGCCTGCAAGCTGGAAAGGTTTACTACCCAGCCCTTTTGGAAAAAAAGTTGGCTGACCTCTGGACTACACAGTAGGTTGTACCTGCTGTAAAAAGTTCATGTTCAGCCTTGTAGTATCATCAAAACATTCATTTGACTTCTCTCCTGATAACTGATGTATTTGTCAATACTAATACATTTTTCCACAATAACAGATACATTTTTTGATAATAATAGGTGGGATGATGATCCTGGTAAGCAAATTCCACCTGTTCATTTCCCCTTTAAGAAATACTTTGGGGGAAAAGATGATNCTTTTAGGGATAAGCGTGTCCTTTCAACACGCTGACCCACATGAGAGCACTGGTCAGTGAATGGAAAGAAAATAGCAGGAGGAGGAAATGGAAGCCTCCAGAACAGGCCTCACCCCCCTTTTCCAGCGCGCCTCCAGTGGGTTCCAGGGCTTCCGTGCATTTCTCTAAGTCTGTCATTGGGGAGCAGAAAGCTCTTACCCCCAAATGCGGTGCTTTGACAGGCTGGAATAAAGCAGCAGCCTCAAGGTCTCTCTGACCCTACCCCCCCGTCCCATCCCTCAATCCTCTGACCCTCTCTCTTCCCATCTGCCTAAAATTCAGACCTGCCTAGAAGAAGACAGTCACCTCTGGTCCTTTCCCTTGGTTTTTATTAACATAACTCATATCAGACTCAAAACTAGAGTCTGTCAACACACCTGAACAGACTTTTGTCACAGACCATCGTCTTCTATTTTGGTCCCATTCAGTATTTTGGAGAGAATCTTTTACCAGTCATTGCTCCGCGTGCCAAGGAGACTTTGTCCCAGGCCATTGTATGTTCTCCAGCCACTGAGTCTCCTTAAGAATCGTTTACTCCTGCACCCCATCTCCCCTTTCCCTATGGATGGGGGATATAAGCTTTGTACCCTGTGGGAAAGTGGGAAATGACTCTCTTGTGATCCCCAGTGCATCGTCCCCTCCCAGCATGTTAAAATAATAAAATATCTTATGCCTTTTCTTCATATTAACTCAGTTAATTAGTTGATTTTTCAGAGAACCTTTAGGGTGTTGAGGGTGAGTGTTCCCTTGGCCCCTGCCCTGTTTGCTCTTGCTTTTTTATGTAGAAGAGGGAGAGACAGCTATAATCCAGGGGCACTTGTGACATTGCAGGCACAGTGTCGTTATAGTTCTTAACCTGGCAGGTGCATTTGGCCCTATTTCACAGGTGAGTCAGCGGGGCCTGGGTGTGTTAGTAACCTATCCACACTCACAGGCAGAGAGCGGGAGGGCTGGGTTTCAAGCTGGGATGGCAGTCCTCAGGTGGCGGCCTCGAAGTCCCTTGGCAAGAAACTTTCAGGTTGGGGCTGCGTTCCAGAAAGGAGGTGGTTCCACCTGGATCCCAGGAGACCAGAGCGGCTACTGTGGGCACGCCCTCAGCATACAGGGGAAGTCGTGTGTAGAAGCAGGAGTCAGCATGCGGGGACAGAGACGTGGCTGTCAGGGGCCTTTTTACTTACCTGTTAGCAGCGAAGTCAGCGGGCCGGCAGAGGTCGTGGATAAAGAGCACTGGGGCTGTTGGCCGCCTTTGTTCCCTGCCGATTAGTGGAGCCTGCTGTCGGGCAGGATGAGATAATCACCGCTGGGGAGGTGATCTGAATGCCCAGTATGCAGATGTCCACTTCATTATTTAGAAATTAGTTGTGTAAATCTCTTCAGATTATTACGAGTGTATTGCTGTGGCTCACAGAGTGTTTGATTGTAAAGATAAAGAAGTTATAACAAAGTGCTGTGGTGTCAGTCCTGTTTGTAGGCTCTTAAGAATTTACTTATTAAAACTTCTGTGATTTTAAGTTTCTAAGGGCTTACCCTTTCATTTTAGTATTTTCTTCACATAGCTCAGATAAACTTCCGTCTTCATTCGTGCTGCCGTAGCAATACCACAGACTGGGTAGTTTACAAAGAACAGACATTTATTTCTCACAGTTCTGGAGGCTGGGAAGTCCAAGATCAGGGTGCTGGCATTTGTGGTCTGGTGAGGGCTTTCTTGCTGCGTCCTCACATGGCAGATGGCAGAGGGCCGAGTGAGAGAGGAAGAGCAAGCTAACCCAAGAACGCTGCCAGACGCCTCTTCTGTAAGGCCCTTAATCCCATTAATGAGCATGGAGCCCTCATGGCCTCGTCACCTCTTAAAGGCCCCACCTCTCAATACCACCACGTTGACACACCTGAATTTTGGAGGGAATGCGTTCACACCATAGCATTCTCCTATTCTGCCTTAATTATAGAATGTATTGAATGGCTTCAGGATGACTCACTGCTGCCTTGTAAGTAAGGGCTCTGCCTACGTAAGCCCTGTCAAGTGACCTTACTGTGTGAAGTCACTTTGCACTTCGGCCCCATGTGCTGGCCCCATCCATATTTCCCTCCTTTTCCTGCTATAGTTGTCCGCTAACATATTCTCCTTTAAAGCCACACTGGGCACCACCATTAATTAGGAGATGGATATTTTCCTGCACTTCTTCATTGCCCAGAAGACCCGTCATGCCTCTGTGTGTTTCATGCTTGTCTGTCCTTTAAGCCCTCCCCAGGTATCACCTCCTCCAAATGTCTTCCTCAGCAGATCCCTTCCTCCCTCTCTATTCCCATAACAACTGATTGGGGCTTGATCACACTTTGCCTTGTGTTAGAGTAAGTTGTAAACACATCTGTTTCTTCACTTGATTTGGGACT